CCCCCCTAGCCTATAGACGCTTTCAGCAGTGACAACATAAACAAACGGTACTGCGCATGTGCATTAATCTGGCCCAAACTTAACTTCCGGCAGACTTGCGGAGACAATCCAACAAGTAAATAACCTAGTAGCTGGTATCTTGCCAGTCAAAGAAAATAAATGTTACCTGGCCAAACTGAAATGTGACACTACCAGACCCGTTGAACAAAAATTGGAGACAAGATGTTTTTCTACCGACGTTTCTGATTTACCGCAGTGTTAAAAAAACTGTGGCGAGCGCGACGGCGGAGTTTGATAAGGTTAACATAGCTAGGCTACTTACATGCTTGCTAACCTTTTTTAAGGTGGGTCTCCACAATGACAGCGTGTTGGATGGATCTGTGCAGCGCTGTTTATGATACTAACCATTTAATACACAGACTGGTCCGCTGTCAATGTGTTTGCGAGAGAGAGAGAGAGAGAGAGAGAGTGAGAGCGTCCGAATATGCGCTGCACGCAACTCTGCAGTCAATTACAACTTTCCCCATCTTAAATTGTTAAAAAACACGGAGATCAATATGTGGCGGTCAGCGCTGATAATGTGGTGGGCTGCCACTAATAAATGTATGGGAAACACTGTACCGGTTATCACTCAGATAAACATAGGCTATTTTAATACCGCCGTCTCCCTCATAGAAAACCTTGACATTTTTTGTTTTTAAAAATTGTGTTTGCTCCCTAGGTCAGGTTGCACCCCACAGCTCAATAACCTGCTCATCACCTTAAATTTCACTGCATTTGTAGTCAATGCCATATTATCCAGTAAACACTAATAAACGAACAGAACGGAAGTTAACTTTGGGCCAGCTCATCACCATGGCAACGCGTCTGATGAAACCGTCTAACGCCTTTTTTCAAACAAACACAACAGGCTTACAAAAAAACCGCTGTTATACATACAAAACGGTGTTACTCTGTTCACTCTGTAAAACATAAGTGTTTTAAATATTACATTTTAAATATTATTAAATATTATTATAGGATTCGTTTATTTTATGTCTTTTTTAACTTATTCAACTAAAAATGCGTTTGTTTGTTTGTTTGGTTTATCCAAGAAAAAAGTTAAACTGCATTAAACTGCGAGTTAAACTGCATTAGCTTGAACTAGTAATTATAGCATATATATATATATATATATATATATATATATATGAAGAGTTCAGATGCAAATGCCTCTAAATGCCATTTGAAATTTTCTTCTTTAATGATGATTTTCATCAAACTTGTATATTTAAGTTCAGTAATTTCAGTTAAATAACAATTAATAGGTAATTATCATTGCCATTTAAGTGAAATTACTGAACTTAAATATACAAGCTTGAGAAAAATGATCATTCTAGAAGAAAATTTCAAATGGCACTTATATATAGGCTTTTGCATCTGAACTCTTCATATATATATATATATATATATATATATATATATATATATCAATCTTGTTTGTAAAACACAAGCTGGATCCAATGATCTTCCTTATTCATTGATATCCATTTATAAATATTTGTGTCTGGTGAAATATCAATAAATAAATAGCCTACATTCATTTACCAGTGATTGATTCTTTTTTGAGACTCTTATAACCATAAAAGGGATCATCTGCTGCCAGTGATCACAGCTCAGTTTTAAACTGTCTAGTTTTCAAATGCCATCAGCTTTGTCATAATGTTATTCACCAGGCTCTAGAGATTGGCCCAGTCCTTTTCAGCAACGCATTGTGTTCACACACTGCCAGACAAATGAGCAAGAAGCGCTATAAAAAATAAATGTGACTTGACTTGTAAAAAAAATATTGTTGGTTTAACTTAAAAAAAAAATTAAGTAACCTGGTTGCCTTAAAATTTTAATCTCATTGAACTGGAAAAAGTGAGTTAATACAATGAAGAGAATGATTTAATCATCAGAAACTCAAAATTATATGTTATCTGAGCTAAATAAATTATTTAAGTTGATTTGACAAAAGAAAAAATGTTGTGATTACTACACTGTAAAAAAATATTGTTGGTTTAACTTTAAAAAGTAAGTAACCTGGGTTGCCTTAAAATTTTAAGTTGATTGAACTGGAAAAAGTGAGTTAATTAATGAAGGAGATTAATTTAATTACCAGAAACTCAAAATAATAAGTTATCTCAACTAAATAAATTATTATAAAGTTGATTTGACAAAAGAAAATGTTGTGATGACAAATCTTTAAAATATTTTTTACAGTCTGGGAATTAACAAGCACTGCAGTTTCAGGGTTATGCAATAAATCATTCATGTAATCCAACACAAACTGATTAAGTAAACTTATATTGTACATATATACATTTAAGCAGATTGAATACAATCAAATTAAGTTAAGTCTCGACAAAATGTGGGCCTATAGCAATTGTGTTGCTTTAAGCTAATTTTAATGAAGCAATTTGATCAAGCAACCAAAATAAAAATGTTTCAGTGCAACATCTTAAAAGCATCCCAAAACAGATTTTACGGAATACTAACAGAAATTAAAGACTTTGCCTTTAGATTAACTTTATATTTTCTTACCTGGCTGATACTTCCAGCTCTATCACCACTGCACTGTCTTCTCACTTCCGTTTTTTTTAATCGTGAAACTAAACCCTTTACTTTATTTTAACAAATGATAATTAAGTATAGTGGAAAATTATACAGGTTAATTTAATGACGCAATACAATAGTGCTTTGGTGGTAAAATAAATATGTGTTATTTTAACAAATAAATATTTCACATCAAACGGTTTTGAACAATTTACACTTTATTAAAAAAAAAAAATCAATGAAGTAAGTTGCAATTTGTGGAGTGAACTAATATTTTCAGTTTGCTTGCGTGTCTCAAGGACACGATGTTAACCGGGGGGTGGGGGGGACTCGTGAATATTCAAGCAACACCCACTGGAAGCACATAGAGAAACCCATGGTGGGCTATTGTAACGTCACATTTTAGATACAGTTTTTATAACAAGTAATTTTACCCAAACATTTTAAGGAAACCATTTTTATGTTTGCCATAATAAGTAGGCCTACTGTAGGCCTGTTTTGTCCTTCACGAGGCACACCCTGACACTGCTCTTGTTTGTGTCTCCGCTCCCTCAGAAACGGGTCATAAACCACAACTATACGTGTTCACTTCATAGAGTCACACACATTTCATTTCAATTCATTTTCGAGTTAAAACAGTGATAGGCAATTTTACAAATAGGCTAATTTGTTTCGAGTGTAAAGTGATTAGACCTGGTACAAAATGAAACTGTTCCAGGTCTAATCAGCTTAATAGCTTTACACTCGACCAAAATAGCTAAAGTATATTACATTTATTTCGCTAGCAAGCTATTAGAGCTGGCATGAAATGTAACTGCGTCACGGTCTTTGTTCGTCTTTATCGACCGGAAGAGACTCTAACAAATAGGCTAACGTTACATTGTAGAGTAAAATATTAAAGTCTTACCTTGGTACAGTGAAAATGAACCAACTGAGAGGAAAATAAAGAGAACCTGCATTTTCCCAGCTTTCAATCAGAAAATTGACTGAATATTCCGTGAAATTAAAGCGTCCCTCTCTTCCGCGTTAATGGCTTCAGTTAAAAGTGAAACTGTCCTTCCCATAGCCTGTAGCGCGATTAAGATTCGTAACGCCCTTTTCAAACAAACAAACACACAACAGGTTTACAAAAAAACGTTGTTACTTTGTTTAGTTTGCAAAACATATTGTGTATAGGCTAAATATTATTAGCATTATTTTAATGTATTGCTTATTCAACTAAAAGCGTTAGTTTCGTTTTTTTTGCGAGAGAAAATATCTAAATTCGTTCTAACTAGTAGTTAATTAATATGATTTGTTTTATTTAAATACATAGCCTATACACATTACTACGGAGGGGTTTTATACATTTACAATTTATATCAGTTATTCCCAGGACAACACATTTGGATGACTTCCTGATGTAACTTTGTCATGTGGCGCAAACGAACAAATAAAAAAAAAAACATTCGGCTCTTGAATCCAATTTCTAAGGAAAGTGAGGAGAACAAGTAGAAAAAAATAGGAGAATTAAGAAGATAGATGTATCACAGGTTACAATTTTCTTATATGCCTATATATTTTTAATCTTGTTTGTAAATTTTACAACACAAGCTGGCGGCATTGATCATATTTTATTGTTAGCTATATATCTTTGTGTATTCTGATGAAGTAATAATAAATAAATAAATTATACAAGCACCATTTAAATGAAGAACCTTTAACATTCATGGTACCTTTTCATTGGACAAAATGTTTTTAGCCTATAGTGAAAAGGGTTCTTTAAAATATTCTAATATAATAAAAACAAGGTTAATTAAGTGTTCACTAAAAGGTTCTTTAGGAACCCCAAATGTTGTATCACTGTAAAAAAACAAAAAAAACAAAAAAAAAAAAAACACTTTTTGAAACCTCAATAAGAGTGTTGCAGGATATAAAAAGCCCTTCATTTACAAACCATATGCACTAAATGCACAAGCTGTTTGTTCACTAAACACACCAAACCACATTTCTGAAGAAACCAAAAGGTTTCAGTTTGACTCAGAAGCAGAATTGCTGTCATAGAGTATACTTACTGATAATGTGTGATGGTAGATTAACTTTAATTGGTCAAGCACAATAAGTATTTATCAAATTATTACAACAAATTTGTTTTTGTTCTTTTTTTGTTTGTTTTATACCAAATTATATTCTTATACTTTCATGTATTTAACAGAGCCATACAGTTACCTTGCAAAAACATCAACGTTACATTGTAAAAATAAGGATTGTATCTTTTCTATCATTAATTTAAAATCTTCAAGCTGTTTTAAATGTTAACCATATATTGGGCATTTTAAATTGTGTTAAGAGGGAGAGAGAGAGAGAGAGAGAGAGAGAGAGAGAGAGAGAGAGAGTGTGTGTGTACTATGGGAGGGGCGAACCCTGTTGGGGGAGGATCCACACAGATGAACAGTTTGAGTGTTTTTGGTGAATAGTCTTATTAGTTTGGGCACTTAAAGAAAATGTTACATGTGTTTGTTTTGTGCTGTTGGCATCTGACTGGTAAGTTATAAAAGAATTTTACAGCTTCATTTTATTCTGTTTTAGAGCAATAAGATACTGCTACTGTTCAAATTACACTATTTTTGTGAGACATTATGGTCCAGTCTACTTTGCATTCTGTTCTCCATTGGGCTGAACCAACAGGAATCTGGGGATTTTTATAGTTTTATGTCCAGGCCTTGAAAATACATGGACATACATAATATAGAAGTCACTGAAAAGTAATAGAAATTTCTAAATTGATTGGGAGGCACAGAAAGCGACTACAAAATGAATCTTTGGTCAAAAAGCAATAAACATAAGTGAGATTCAGTGAGCTTGATTGCTCATATAAAAAAAATATTGAAAGTGAACAGTATAATTAACTTATACAAGTCAATTACAGCGTGAAAGTACAGTTTCACACATTCATTTTACTCTACAACCAGATAAAGACACCATGGAAAAAAATATTTGGTTCACACACACATATGATGTATATGACCTTCAATTTTATTGTAAAAAATTGTCTGTGTATTGCTGTTCTTCAAATCACATTTAAAGGTTTCAAACTACAGCTGATCAGAAGTTGAATCTGTGTAACATCTTTATATTCATCAGGTGTGTTTGGTGATTCAGTGTCAGTGATGGAGGGAGATTCTGTTACTCTAAACACTGATCTCACGGAAATACATGAAGATGAAGATATACTGTGGAAATATGGAGCTGAAAACTCTCTGATAGCTGAAATCAGTAGATCTGCTGGAATCTTCACCACATATGATGATGTTCCTGATGGGAGATTCAGAGACAGACTGAAGCTGGACGATCAAACTGGATCTCTGACCATCACACACACCACAACTGAACACACTGGAGATTATAGACTAGAGATAAGAGGAGCGAAACGATCATCAAAAACATTCAATGTTTCTGTCTATGGTGAGTAGAGATAATTTGTCCTGTCTTTAAATAATATTATTTTATTTTTGATACACTGCAAACGAGGAACTCCCGCACACGATCAGAACATGCATTTAAAAAGAAAACTTTTTCAGCTTTTATTTTTGATATACTGAAATTTTATAATTTGAGATTACCCTAAGCACGTAAAACACATTGAATGAAAATTAGATTGATTTGATTTATTCAGATTTATTTTTTCCTCTCTCGTTTCTCAGCTCGTCTGCCTGTTCCTGTCATCATCAGAGACTGTTCTTCATCTTCATCAAATTGTTCAGTGGTGTGTTCAGTGTTGAGTGTGTGTGATGCGACTCTGTCCTGGTACGCAGGAATGAGTGTATTGTCCAGCATCAGTGTGTGTGATCTCAGCATCAGTCTCTCTCTACCTCTGGAGGTGGAATATCAGGATAAAAACACCTACAGCTGTGTGCTGAACAATCCCATCAGCAACCAGACCACACATCTGGACATCAACACACACTGCCACACATGTGAAGGTACGACCACCACTCATCATATATGTGTGTGTGTGTGTGTGTGTTTACTGACCTGATATCTGTCTTCTGGTGTAGATCACATTAATGCATTCACTTCTTTCTGTATCATTACAGCACCGGACACACACTCTTCTTCACCCTCGCCAGTGTCTCTGATAGTGTTGATCTCTGCTGGATCTCTGGTGATTGTATTTACAGTCGTCGTCGTGATGTTCTGCATCTACAGGCGACTCAGAAAAATTGACAGAGAAGGTAAAAATATCTCTTTTGACAAGTGTTGCACCAAAAACCATACTTCAGAAATAAACTCTCTCTCTATCTATATATATATATATATATATATATATATATATATATACATATTGATTGGAAGCTCTAATATGCACCTGCTCTGATATTCCTGGTTTTCAATAAGCCAGCTTGGGCATTTACGGTGAACTGTTAGCTGTCATTCTGTACATCGACAAAAAACAATTAATGACTGAATTTTTAATGTTGTATTTATATTTTAATGCAGTTATCACACTCACCTAATTTGCAAATAAACCAGTTTTATTGATTGCAATAAAGACTTGCCAATGGAACAGGAAACAAAGTGTCTGTGATTGGATATGTTTTTCAATTGTTATTTTTGTGATGACCAAAAGATTATTTGTTCATCCTTCTGAGATTGTCTACATTTGTAAAACAGAACGTTTCAAGATGTAGAAATCCAATATTTGATAGAAAAAAAAAGACATTAATTAACACTACAGTATAACCAGTAGATGAGGAACAGGAACATTTATTAGCTCATATTAGCAATGTCCTATAATATCTTTTCACACGGTTCACTTTTAAGTACATATTAAACATTATAAAATAACTAGGTTTAAAAATTAATAGTCAATATGAAGTACGTCTTTTATGTCGTCTTATGTTTGAATACCTAAATTAAGGCCTGACAATGTAGGATACTATATTTTGATTATAAAGTAAGTAATTAAATTAATGATGCTGTTAAAGCTACCTCGGGACATGAGGTAGATCAAAGATACCAACAAGTGACATTTCACCAGAAGTTTTCCAGCCGGCTTATATTATTGTGGAAGTTTTTCTGTGCATATGGTCAGATATCATTTAATCTCAGTTATTCTCATAACCGTTTACTCATCTCAATCACACAAAAAGCAGGTCATGCATTTCCGCAACTAAAACACATTGAAAATCCAAAAAACAAATTTAAATCGGCATCAGTTTAATATAAATAAACATTTTCCACACTTTATGGCATGTAAAGATGCAGTCCTCAGTTTTAACTCTTCTATGTATGTTGTTTTACTTGTTGAGCTTCAATGATGACTAATATTTGTTTCACAGAAAGAAAAAAAAAGAAGCAAATTGCTTTAAACACTGGTTTTGATTAACAAATTATATGGAAATGTCTCAGCAAAATGTATTTTCTAACTATACCTGATACATGCTCTGCTAGGGATTTTATTTAGTTGATTTAATGCATCTATTATTATAGATGAAACAGTTGAGACTGGTGATGGAGAGATCATTTACGCTGATCCAACATTCTGCAAAAGAAAAGCACATAAATTGGTAAGTTCGATTATTTCTAATTTATCTTGAGCATGTCTGTGTATTTCAGCAGTGAGTCAGATATAGATATGTGCTTTTATGTCTGAAATGTAATTTCTGAACATTATTTGAAAAAAATGTTTGCATTTATTGTGAGAAACAAAAGACTGACTCATACCGAATATCACTCGTGACACGGAAGCTTAGACGGGCTTGTAGGCAAGCAATAAGGGCATAAAAGAAAGCTAAAAACAGGTTTCCTACAAACTATACAAAACTATAAGCTTCCTAAAATACAACTATGAGATCAGTGAAGACTAAATACTTTGCTGACCTCATCAAAAGAAATTGTCAATCCAATAACTATTTTTAAAAGAATACATGCAGTCGTGAACCCTTCTACTTGTGTATTGTATCAGTGTGAGTCATCGGCCATGTGTGAAAATTTCATCGTCACCTGTGACAGAAGCATGCGAAAGTAAACTTCACATTTGCATTATTTTAATTCAGCTAAGCGGTCATGCTGTGAAACATCAAGTGTATGTGATACAAATTCACCAAGCAGATTTTCTCATGAGCTTGCGTTTAAGTTTTTAAGTGTCCCACATTCATATGCGTATGGAAAGAAGTCAATGGAACGAAAATGTAGTGTCACCACCGCTTAACTTATCATTTCTGTTGTGCATCAGAAACAAAAAAAAAGGGGCAAAATTTGGACTGAAGCAGCTTTGGTCCAAATAAGACAGGCCAAAGCCCCCTAGAGGCTTGAACCAGCAAGGTTCAATTTTTATTGACACCAGGATCAGCAAACAACTCATTTTTCAAAGTGGGGAACTATGACGTCAAAGAGGATAAAACACTACCCCGCAGAAGAAGATCAACGCCTATTTCAACACGGCCGGTTTAGCCCCGCCCACCGATTCGCGCATTAATTAAAAAAAATGATGTGTTGGCTTTACTTAACTTTTTTTTTATGTAAACAGGTTCCACCGTTTCAACATAACTTGGTTTCGTTAAACAAACATAATTTGTTCATGTAACTTCAACATCTGAAGTCATTTTTGAATGTTAAATAAACACTGAAGCAGTGTTAAAGTTAATGAGATAATTAAGTAATTAATTTGAGTGATGATTGAGCATTATTGAAGACACCTGATGTTACCAAGCAGAATCACTGAAGGAGAAAACCTGAATTTCAGGTCACTATTTGTCATGAAACTTGGTGAGGTGGAACTGGGGATTAAACCCCCAACCTTCTCGTTTGTAGACAACCTACATGAGCCACTGTTAAGTTTACCTTATAGCCGGACTGCTGTTGTAAAGCATACCATTTTTAGCCTTTTCAATGGAATTCAAATGATCGAATCAATAAAAAATAAACTAGTTTATGTCGGCACACACAGACATCAAGAAGCAGCCTGTGAATCTCAACAGTGGTGACAATTATAAAGCATGTTGCAGTGCATTCTGGGTCCCACCAATCAAAACTCATTCATGGCTCCCATCATGCATTGCTGCATGAATAAATAATGAGCTTATGTTCAGAGGTGATCTGTTGGTCACCATTGCTGAGATTCATACGATAAATATTGAAGTCTGTGTGTGCATGCATACAAATGTTTTTTGAGGTTTTTTAAAAGTTTTTTATTTGATCATTTGGATTTTTTGAAAGGGCTAAAAAATGGTATGTTTTACAATGGCAGTGCTGCTATAATCCATAAGATAAACTTAACTCAGAAATTTGATTCTAAATGAGTTCAGTGATTCAGGTCAAATGACTGTGATATAATGATTATGTTAAAGCACAACCAGCACCATCAGATCACATTTTCTAGTTGATTATCTGGCTGTTATAGCTCAGACACAGCAGCCAGACAAAATATAAAGTTAATAATATAAGGGTCAAGAGCCCAAACTAAAACAAACACTGATCTCCATAATGGTGACTTTAAATTTCGGTTTTCTCCTTCAGTGATTTTGCTTGTTATCATCAGGTGTCTTCAATAATGCTCAATCATCACTAATTATTCACTTCATTATCTCATTAACTTTAGCACTGCTTCAGTGTTCATTTAACACTCAGTTTGATTGGATGGCTTAAAATGACTTCCATGATGTTGAAGTTACATGAACACATTATGTTTGTTTAGCGAAACCCAGTTATGTGGAACCGGTGGAACCTGTTTACAAAAAAAGTTAAGTAAAGCCAACACATTATTTTTTGGAGTGTATACATGCATATCTAAATAACATAGATGCCTACCTCGTGATGACAAACTGGATCGACCGAGCAATACCGAGCAATACAAAATATTGTGCAGTGCCTGGATAAGCTTCACCTCAGTATTTCGTGGTAAAGCTGTTCCATGTAAAGCAGAAGTCAAACTGAACATTGTATGTGATAGAATGGAAAAACACTCTTAAACCACACGCTATAGAAACATGAAAACACACACACACACACAAACTGACATTAACCACAGATGTCCAGTTATAGACGTATCCTATAACTGGTTCACGACTGCATTCTTAGTTATTGGATTGACAATTTCTTTTGATGAGGTCAGCAAAGTATTTAGTCTTCACTGATCTCATAGTTGTATTTTAGGAAGCTTATAGTTTTGTATAGTTTGTAGGAAACCTGTTGGACCAAAAAGTGCTGAAACATCGAGGATAGTTTCTCTCTTTTCCCCTGATGTCTGCCAGGTTCAGAGATACCGCAGTTTGTTTAGTGGCACGGAGAGCAAAGTCTGTAGTTTGACACTGGTCTTTCAACAGATCGGCCTGATAAGCATGCGACACAATTGTGTGCAGAGCAGCCCTGGCCTGTCCCGCAGCCGTTCGGATGCGCGTCATTCATGTAGCGGTTCAGTCAGCAGAGTGTGAACCAGCGAGACATAGACATCAAGCCAAGACTGTATAATGAAATCTGTGTACTGTGTTTTTTATGCAGAACATTCAAGAGGAGAATGACGTGGTGTATGCGGGTATCGCCGTGAGGAGATGATCAAACTTCAGTTTACTGCACCAGATCCAGCTGTGAGATCGCTTCACTAACCTTCGGTTGGACTCTGCAGTTCCTGAGTCTGTGCTTGAGTTTTAGGTTTGTGAGAATCACCACATGTAGCAACAGAAATTAGCAATAAAGGCCCGTTCACACCAAGGATGATCACTATAAAGATAATGATATATAGATAAAGTTCTGATAAATCGTTCTCAATATTACAGACTAGCAGAGTTCACACTACAGCTATAACAATATTGGCACAGAGGAACAATATTGTTGGAATCACAGACCGATTTTATCCAGCTGATGAACGATAAATCAGAATCCATCCTTCTGTAACGAGCTCGAGCATTTAAATGCAGCAGACAAGCACGTGCTTAGAATAAACAAGTTAGCATTCTTGGTGTGAACAGGCCTTAATTCTGAAAGATATATTTCAGTTTGCTAGTTGTGACCCAAGTATTATCAGAAAACCCCATCAGACATACAGCAGAACCTCTCTGGGGGGTTTGAAGTGTGATTCAGAGATGTGCTAGAAGCTTTCTACTACAGGGACTTGTGGTTTAAAATGAACTTTGGCAAGCATATTAATTCTAGCTATGCATGGTTGTGATAATGCTGGCTTAGTATCTGCAATGTAATTATAAATACAGTCCGATGCACTGTGTTCATTTACACACAAGCAGCTCAGGATCCATTATTTTCAGTGACTCGGTTTACAGCAAATGCCGTACAAACAGTATCAACCCGGTAAAGAATGTTTTTTCAAAAGAACTGCATCTCTGTAAGTGTTGTGACTTTGATAATGTACATTTAAAAATGTAACACACACCAAAACTTAAAAAAGTTTAACTTAAAGGTATAGCGGAGGATTTTCTTTTTCCGGGTGGGTAGTCTATACTATTGGTCGATCTAAGTGTCAATCATTCTGGTGATATGTTTACGTAAGGCCGTCGTACGTGCTCGTCGTAGTCTTCACTTTCAGGTGTATTATGTCGGAGTTGCGGTTTCAGCCATTCCTTTGAAAATGGCTGAGGGTCGAAAGAGAAAAAAAATGTATACGAAGTGTATGATAAGAAGAGAAAGGCCGCAGAATATAGAAACAAGACCAGAGTGATTTTGGGTGAATATCACACGCTGGCGTGCGCTAAAAGCACAGGTTAGGCTTCTCACTGATGCTGCAGTCGCGAAGATTCTACTAGACAGGTAAAGTTTGTCACGCTATTTGGAGAAATCCATTTAAAATCACTAGTAAAAGTTAATGCAAGCTACTTAGCAATGCTAGCCCTGGCACAAGTCATCCACCGCATAGACACGGTAAACATCTCAATTTGTCTAAAGTAGCCTTTTGACCAAATGATAAATGGTATCACGCTGAAATATTCTAAAACCTTGTGTGTTCATGTGTTCATATTCTAAAACCTTGTGTGTTCATTATTACACAAATGCAACAAGCTACTTCTCCATACGCAACTATGTATAAAAATAACTTATTAATACGTATTAACAATGAGACATTTTAGGTTAAGGACCAACGTAATAGCACTGCTTATATGTTGCTATGTAACGTAATTGCGATTTGCAAAATAGTTTCCTCAGATCGTATTTTGTGTGATACAGGGTTGTACATATCATGTCTTGAGTCCTCGGTCACTCAATCGATCAGTATAATAAGTAAATAAAACACGGAAGGGCATTTGACATGTTGTCTTTTTTATGAATATTTTTGAGTTAGTTTATAATTTGCAACATAATTGTGCAAGGCGTAATAGTAGGCGTTCCCTCTCGGGAGTGTTGTGTTTGTGCATGTGCATGTGCATTTTTTATTTTTTTTTAAATTGGAGAGGGCGGGTCTTCTCTAAAATTCGGAAAGATCCTCCGCTATACCTTTAAAACTTTAACTTTAAACTTAAAAAATTAAAAAAGTCATGAGAATCCGTTATAAATCTTTTGTCAACAAAAGAGAAGCTGTAAGGTCTCCCAGTGGTGTCCTTACAAAACAAAAGCTGGTTTAACGTTTGAAAGCAAATAAATTAATACAAATACGAGTACTGTAATTTTACTGTTGTTCTGAAAAAATGTCCTTGAATTCATTTGTTTTTAAGGGCCCCTGTCAGTTTGAGGCTCTAGTAGCTCGGAATGTGTGTCACAACTAAAGCCGGCAGTGGTCTGATTTATTCCCATCTGCACAGACTTGTGGTTTGATCTGTTGGGTAGACAAACAAGTTCTGCGCAAGGATACGTCTATAACTGGACATCTGTGGTTAATGTCAGTTTGTTTATGTGTGCGTTTTCATGTTTCTATAGCGTGTGGTTTAAGAGTGTTTTTCCATTCCATCACATACAATGTTCAGTTTGACTTCTGCTTTACACGGAACAGCTTTACCACGAAATACTGAGCTAATAAATGCTGATGTCTAACAAAAATTACTGCAACGATATTACAGAAAAAATATGATTATATCATATTCTATGAAAGCTGAGACTTTGTTCATATATAAAACATTGCTCAACGATGTTTTCACTACATGAGAACACGGACGTGTTGCATGAAAACATCAACCTTAAAATACTAAAATGAAGTGATCATAGAATCAGTAAATTCAGCTCTAGCACAAGATGATGTCATTTCTAATAACATATTTTCTTGATATTGCACCTTTTTATATAAACATCATATCATTTTAAGAATAAATACACTGTTGTAATGTTTATATTATCAAATAAATTTTCAGTGGTTAGATTTTTTTTTGTTGGCTCAAAACAAATGACAGACCAATATACTCACTCTCTTTTGTAAAACGTTTTAAATCTGTGACTGAATAAATGACTGTCGATGTATAAAGATGCTTTGGCCCACATAATAGTGTACAGTAGTTACAACATCTGGGACAAACAGACCTTATCAACTGGGAAACTTTGCTCCTTAGAAATTGACCCTTTATTGTTAACCCAATTGTTAATTGGTAAAAGTACCAATGCAAATAAGTGATACATTCACGAATCAAGCATTGCTGGTTCTGATTTTAAATCGCCAACAGAAAATACTAGACATGCATACTGAACAATATACATTAAAAGCTCTAACACTGAGCAAATGGTTTTGTGGTTAAAGTCCCCCGTTCACTCTGCAGCCATATTCGCAACACCTCACAACTCAGAGATGTCAACTCTCACGCATTTTGTGTGACACACCAACGTGATCTCATGAGAAAACATATGTATGTGTACGTAAAGTGTCGTTCTATCATACGTATATATAATTACGTTTTATATGCGCAGAAACGTATAATACTGACGTATTTACAGTACTAAAACGTATATATTTACGTATTGACAACACAAAAACGTAATTTATTTACGTATGAACAAATCCACCGACGTACACATAGTACGTATCACAATTTATGCATATTAATATCGTAGCATTATGTTTTGACTCTATTGCATTCCACTGTCTTATTAATGAAGTTTTCAGTCGTATTATTGATATAATACTCATAAATATTGACATTTTGCTCGTTTCGCCTGCATGGTGTTAAACAATACACTATAAAACCTTAAAAAATACATTCTTTAACGTTACTCGTTCAACCATTTTGTAATAGTTTATTTACCTTGAGACACATAAAGCGTTTTCTCCTATAAAACACAACAAAAATTCACAAAAGACATCAATTTTATTAGTTTGATGTAATCCAACTCTTTAGAATCCATAGTTGTTTGCAAGAAACAACTCCTAATTCAGCCTCTTACCCAGTCGTGATCTCTCCATTCTCAGCAGCGACCGTAACGTTACATGTCAAACCCCGCGCTGGTGATGAATTCAAATTCAAATATTGCGCCCATACGTCATCTTTTACGGCAGCGATATCAAACGTTCATTGGCTCATCCCTGCTTCGTCACAGTTTGCGACATGAAGGACTGTGACGGTTGGTTAGTTTAGTTCATTTGAATTTTGAAATGGAGAAGCGCGAACCAACCGAAGCCGGATTAACATTTTCATTAGTAATTTAATTTCTGGTCTGTACTTCATACAAAACTATTACAATACTGCCAGAGAGAAGACTGCGACTGCAACGCTTCATCATGTGATCGGCTTTTGGTATCGGTTTTGACATTTCGCAATAAATAAATTATTGTGATTATACTTGTCTGTTAGTTATGTTTTTCTTCATAATTGTAGTTTTTTACGTAGTTTTAAGGAATTGTTATGGTAGGTTTAGGGGTAGGAGTAGGTGGCTCAAAATATATTTTAATGCTATATTGTTAATAAAACTGCCCTTTCCCAACACCTGTCTGTTACGTTTTATCCTTTTTTTATATTAAGTATAAAATGGGTATGTTTAGGTTTGGGATTAGGGTTACGGGATCTTACATTTATCTATAAAATAGTAAAAAGGGAAATTATCCAGATATCTTTATGATATAGAATATACGTAAATAGTTTACGTTTTGTAGCTGTAAAAACGTAATAATGTTACGTTTAAATGTTGCAGATACGTCTATATTATACGTTTCAGCATCTATCCAAACGTACTAAAAAGTGTGTTTTCTATCTTTGCAAAAACGTAAAATAGCTACGTATTAACAATGAGACCAGGCTGGACACACACTTTCAAGCTCTATCAGACACTCTCACACTGCCCAAGTAAATAACACACCAAATTAACCCTAAAAAGGGAGAGACCATTTTTGTGTATGTCCTTGTTTTTCTACACTTGTACTTGTAAGGTATTACATTTTTAGTCCATTTTGAATTTTATTTTGAAAGGTTATGAAAAGATCCTCTCAAGTTCAGGACTTGTTCTATAACATATTGTCTAGATTTGGTTTTGTTTCATGTTCCTGTAAAAAAAAATCTGTCTTCTTTTGGTTTTGTTTCATGTCAGTCATGTTTCATGCCTTTGTCATCCGATTCCCTGTTAGTCATGTGATCCTGCCATGTTTGTTCCCTTGTCTGATGTGTCGTTGTCATTGGTTCTTTGCTCACAGGTCTCCCTTGTCTAGTCATTAATCTTGTATATTTAAGCCCCCATGTTTGCCATGTGTCTTTGTCAAGTTTGTTTCCCTGAAACCACTGTTTGGCTAAGCTTCAGCTTCATGTTAATGTTTTGTTTTCAGCTCATGCCACGCTACGCTTTCATTTTCTGTTTTGATCTTATGTTTCTAAATAAACTGCCCTTGGGTTCTCTACAACTTGCCTCCAGTGGATATGCGTTAGTCTCGGTTCACAATAAATGCCATAGAAAGAGTATCAAAGATAAATGTTGCTCCCAAAGAACTGCATCTCTGTAATTATTGTGACTTTAATGTACATTTAAAAATGAAATTTGTATTGAGAATCAGTAATAAATCTTTTATCAACGAAAGATAAGCTTTAAAGGAGAACTCCGGCGAACAATGAACCTTTGGTCTAATAAAACATCGGTACCTAGTCAACCGTTCTCTGGGATTTGTTTTCATGATAATCGAATGTAAAGAGTTTTATCTCTAAAAACTGTTAAGAGATACTAACAAGGCTCAAAATAGCCCCACACTAACGCAGTAACATAATGAGTGTCCACATGCAAAACGAAGCATTGAGAACTTTGTAAGTGTACAGACCGTTTAATAAGAAGATACTTTATGAAGACAGTTCACTTCGCGTATACAGACAGGTGCCATCTTAAAAAATAGTCTCGATAAGTCAAACCACGAACGTCGTGCTGAGTGATCTGAACTCTATGAAGTTCAACGAACTTCTGAACTGTATGAACGGCGTTCGGGGATCGACTTATCGAGACTATTTTTTAAGATGGCTCCTGTCTGTATACGTGAAGTGAACTGTCTTCATAAAGTATCTTCTTATTAAACGGTCTGTACACTTACAAAGTTCTCAATGCTTCGTTTTGCATGTATGGAGCCTCATTATGTTTCTGTGTTAGTGTGGGGCTATTTTGAGCCTTATTAGTGGTATAAACTAGCGATTTCTTTTTACTTACTCAATGCCCCCATTACTAGTGTTATACGCTAAACAGTTTTTAGAGATAAAACTCTTTACATTCGATTATCATGAAAACAAAACTCAGAGAACGGTTGACTAGGTACCGATGTTTTATTAGACCAAAGGTTCATTGTTCGCCAGAGTTCTCCTTTAAAGTCTATCATCAGTTTTCAGACAAAATGATAGCTTAATGGCTTAACATTTGTAGGCAAAGAAATTAAGATATTTGTACTACAGATTCAAGTATTCTGCTTTTAAGGTCCTTCTTTTAGAGGCACCTGGCAGTTTGAGGCTCGACCAGACGAGTCAAAAATAAAACCTGAAAAATGTATAATGACTTCACTACAGAGTTGTGGTTTGATGTGTTGGGCGTACAAAGAGGGTCAGCATGAGTCTATAAATGGACATCTGGTTTATCTTGATGTGTAAATGGTACGTGGTTTAAGGGTGACTTCTTTCCCAAGAAATACACATCAATGCCGATGTATAAAAAAAAACATCATCACATCACACACATTACTGCAAAATATGAAAATGTCATATACCGTTACTATAAAAGCTTAGACTCTTTCATATCATAAGTAACGTGATCCGTCTCGTCTGTGTTTCCAAACTTTCCATCTCAAGCAGGAAAAGTCAAACGCAAACATCATACCCGTCTATGTCTAAGTGTATTTTTTTTTAAATAAATACAATGTATGATTTACTGTTGTTATCGTTGTAATTTTCAAATTTAGAAAATCAAATGTAGCATAATAAAGTGCCAAATTTTTTTTTAACTTTAATGCCATTTTTCACATTTGTTACAGTATTTTGCCTTTGAGTGTGTGTAGTGTGTGTGACTCATAATACCATGTGACTGATCACTCACTTTATTTTACAACTTCTCAGACACAAGTTTCTGTTAAGATGTTTTAAATCTGTGACTTTGAAACTATAATAATACTATGAATGAAAAAAATAGCTTTTGCCCACATAATGGTGAAGTTACAACATCTAACATGGTGTCGCCATCCCTGTTTGAAATCTGCAATTGCAGTAATTCACGTAATTATCAAATTATCAGTGGATGAACACAATGTTTGAGGAGAATGTGAGGCTGTCGGTCACCACGCCGGTGTGAATACTGGCATTCACAATCAAAAAGAAATGTGAGGGATGTACTTACTTTTGTGAGATACTGTATGCAGGCTAAATGTCAGACTTTCGGAGCAAATCTAAATTTGCCAGAAGTTGTCTGGGTTTTCCCAGGCTAAAGTTAGGCAAGTATATACAGGCCCACCAGTAGATAAAATAAGTAGGGCTAGCTATTTGGCGACACTAAGTGCGTAAAAAATAAAAATAAATAAATGAGTGTTTTTTTTTTTTTTTGGGGGGGGGGGGGGGTGTTTGCTTAAAATTGTAATATAGAACCATCTATACATTCATTTTTCCATAAATTGCCCCAATGGATTTACTCAAAATGTCACACCACCCCAAAAAAGGGTGTAAACTCTACAATTAAAAGGTTATTCATCCCAATAGGGGAAAATAAATAAATAAAAAATATTATAGTCATTATGTCATCAATAATTGCGTGTTTTGTCAACAGTTGAACAGCTTTAGCTCTCAAGAGAAGAAACATCAAGATCATGAACCCCAACATGTTTAAAGATGCAACACAAAACATTACCGTATCCCTGATGGAGTCCAGAGATGATGAAGGTCTGCTCCTGCTCTTCATAAACCGCTTCCCGATGAAAACGATCCAGGAAAACAAAACACGGCTGAACGTGCAGTCCTGTTATCAATCCTTAAATGAAATAGGAACATTACTTTATTTGAGAAATACAATTAGCAAATATTTGTTTGCAAAGTTTTGTTATGGTTTTTAGTAGCTACCTGATGCGATTACGGTGCTCTGGGTGTTTATGTGGTCATTTAGAGGTTAAAACACCCTCCAGTCTCTGTCTGTGGTCTCCAGATATATGGCTCAGATCCAAAATTTAAAACTCACGCGGAAGTCTATAATACATTGATGACGTGATAGCGTCACAGTCTGGCTTATTTTTTCTGTTTATTACCAACTTTTTACTTTTGAGGTTGTTAATGTGTTGTTTTTGACTTGGGACTCGGGGTCAAAGGAGATGGATGACAGATTAAAGCTGCTTACTTTATGTGGTGAATTTCATCTTCATAAATGTAAAGTAACTGAATCTAAGCCCAACCTTAAACTTTTTTGTGTTGATTTAAAATTATTTTATGACTCTCTTTGTTTATCAGCTAATAAGAAAGCTGCTAAAACTACCTTATTGCTCAAAGAAATTATGGTTTCTTTGTAAATAACCTCCTGAATTTAGGTGCTTGTTTTGTGATCTTTTTTTGTTGTCCATTGTCCCTTTTGTACTGCCTTGCTTACGTTGTCTTTGTGCATAATGTTTTTTTTTTTTTCATTTGATCTATTTTTGTAGTTGTTGTATTCCCTGTGCTTTGTGTTCAATAAAAACATATATATAAAAAAAATAAATAAATAAAAAAAAACGTGATAGCGTCACGGGAACATGGCGGCACCCTGTGGGTTTACAGTCAATAAAAATATTCCATAAGCAAATGAAGTGGATCAAATGAGTTATAGTTATATTTAAAAAACAAAAAACCTTTTAGTAAACGTCCAACACGATGTCCCTGTTGATAATTGTACACTTGAAACGCGTATGCTAGCTGTGTTTATCCAAATTTACCACATTGTTTTGTATAGAATCCTAGGCTACTTTATTTTATTTTTTTAGTAATGTATGTTTGTAAACATACCCTTCTGCATTTGCATATCAAATATTCTGTCCGTTCATACAGCTCCGATAAGCTTGACGATTATTGACACAAATTTCGCGCAATAATGATACTTTATAAATTAATACAGTGATGTTATGCATTCTTAAGAAGAAATATAGCTTATATATATATATATATATATATATATATATATATATATATATATATAATATAAAGGATGTGCGTATACTAGGGAGGATCACACACGTAAAGGATGTGCGTATACTAGGGAGGATCACACACGTGCGCGCACGCGCTCTGAGCCAGTGGACGCACTGTTATGAATGCTACACTTCTATGGAAGACTTTATCGTAATGTTTTGACTCTATTCTCGAAATATTTCGACTTTAATGTCGAAATGTACGACTTTAATCTCCAAATGCTAGATTTTTTTTACGTTGCGGTTATAAGTGCTTCCGTGGTCATTTGCAGTCCAAATAACAAACATAGTAATACATTCATTCTTCCGCAAATTGCCCCAATTGATTTACCCACAATGTCACACTACCCCAAAACAAGAAAGGGTGCAAACAAGGCTATTCATCCCAATTCAGTACGTCGATCCTTTAAATAAAAAACATTCATTATGCCATCAACAATCGGGTGTTTTGTTCAACCGTTGAACAGCTTTACCACTCGAGAGGACAAAGCGATGAACCCCAAAATACTGAGAAAAGCTCACCTTATAACCAGATGATGAAGATCTGCTCCTGCTCTTCATAAACCGCTTCCTGAGGAAAACGATCCAGGAAACAAAACACGGCTGAACGTGCAGTCTGTCGTGTTATTAATCCTTAAATGAATTGGGAAAATTACGTTATTTGAGAAAAATATTTGCTTGCAAAGTTTTCTTATGGTTTTAGTAGTGCTCTGTGCGTTTATGTGGTCGTTTATAAGTTCACCTTCAAGTCTCTGGTATTGTGGTCTCCAGATATTTGGCTCGGGTCCAAAATTCAAAACTCACGCGGAAGTCCACAATACCAATACGTTGATGACGTGCTATTGACGTCACGCGAACATGGCGGCACCCTTTTTGTTTTTGTTTTTTTATTGAACTTTTTCTTATTACAATAAACAATAAAGAAATCTAACAAAGAAAGAACATATGACATTCTCAAAATGTACAATATAAATCTTATTGTATTACAAACCAAGATTCACACCTCCCTCACATCATCCAAAAAGACGTCCTCTTCACTGTTCACATGACAAAGGAGAACAAATAGACTGAAGGAGCTCAAAACACTAAAAAATAAATAAATAAAGAAAGAAAACAGAGGGACTCAACTCATCCGAAGTGTCACTAAACGATTATACAATTTCATCAATTCAATTTCTTAGTTGTTTACGGTCATCATGTAAAGAAGTCTGTTCTAACAAATGACTATGAAAAGTGTGGATTAAACTTTATCGATTTATGTACTCTTAATAAATACTTTCAAAGTAAATTGGTTGAAACATTTCTTTAAAAACCCTAATTCTATTTGGAATGTCATACCATGTCATATGCTGTCAAAACTGGGTGGGTTGAGCTATTTCTTAACCTGTAATTATAATATTGGTAAAGTTCCAATAAAAATGTCAGCCTTTCACCGCCAGGCCTTCCTTTCATGGTCTCTTATTTTCAAACACAACTTTTCACCCAACAAATATTACAAATGGAACAACAAAAATAATTTATTTAAATCTTTATTTATTGATTACCGGTAATCACATTATTTTTGGTGACCAATTATTTAACAAGGATGATTGTCTTTACTCTTATAATGAGTTTCTAGAAGAATACAAAATTCCTGTGTCTCCTGGAGATTATGCCAAAGTCTTTGGAGCAGTTTCTTCTGGTGTTTGCATTAGAGCTCAAGTTTGGACACACAACTACTAACTTTGTTATCACTGACTGACACTTCAGTTGGTAAGATCTGTTTTTCTTGTAACAATGCTCTTACCCAACTGATATTTGCTGACCAACAAAATTAGAGAAATACCATTTAAAATAATTCATAAGTTTTACACATCTAATGATCTTATTGTTAAAAAAAAAAAAAAAAAAAAAAAAAACGAAAAAAACATAGATGTAATGTGCACTTTCTGTTCTATGAGTATTGAAACAGTTACACATTTGTTTTGGCACTGCCCTTTTGTCCAAAGTTTCTGGTCTGACATTTGTTATTTTATTGCAGAAAAAATGAGAATGATTTCAAGTTGTTATGGAAGGATGTTCTTTTTGGCTTTTATGACCTCAAAGGAAATAAGAATGAAACTTTTATTAATCTGATTATTGTTTTGGCAAAATTTTACATTCATAAATGTAAGTTTACGCATTCCAAAACATCTTTTATTGCTTTTAACAATGAGGTCAAGCAATATGTCAACACGATTAAGTATTCACTTAATCAAAAGGCAACAAAAACTGTGAATGTGTGTAAACAATTTAATAACTTTTTGTAAATTTGTACTTCCCCTGGCAAAACGTGAATGGGTTTTTTTATGTTAAAACAGCCGCAATGTTGGAAACTGCATTTTTAAAAATAACACAAAAATAAATATATAAAAATAAATAAAAGTTTATGGTCGATAAATTTTTTTTGTAGCAAATACATTTTTAAGTAAATAAAGTGGATCAAATGAATTACAGTTCTTACACTTTATTATAATAAAACTTTTTAGTAAACGTCTGACACTATGTCCCTATTATAATCGTACACTTGAAACATACTAGCGTATAGGCTACTAGCATACTATCCAAAAGTGTTAATCCAAATTTACCACATGATTGTTTTGTATACCACTATATAATATATAATATGCTCCTGTTTTGTAAACATATCCTCCTGCATTTCCATAACAAGTATTCTGTCAATTCATACATAGCTCAGATAACTATATAGCAATAAGTGTTACCATCTACTAGCCTACCTCGCTGCCTTTATACATGTGCTGCATATTGATTAACACTCAAGATATAACAGCATTAACACTAGAGAGATTGGGTAATATATTCTAGAGCCACCCCGATATATCGGCAGGCCGATATTATCGGCCTATATTAGGCATTTTCCAAACTATCGGTATCGGCAGTTATAATGGCCGATAAATGAATATTTCAAAAATAAAATAAAAACGGACAAATCACGCTTGAACCATGTCATGAGAGTTGGAGTTGTATAGTTTGTCCACCAGAGGGCACTCTACGCCGTCACATTGCTTGAATCGGTCTTTGTCAGACACGTGGGTTTGTTGTGTGTGACGTCACCGCGACGCCATTTTTGAGGTATCGCTACTGACTGTGAGCATTGAAAAGATTACGAGAGTAGAGATAACAAGTAAATAACTCGCAAAACTGCAGGAGCACTGCACACACATCTCTTAAAGCCCCCGGACATTTCACCAAGTTACTGTAATCTTCGGTAGAAATGTAAATAAATCCTGTAAAGTTAGTATAACAGCAAAGATAGTTGCTGTATTCATGATGATGATAATGTCATGTTAAGGATGGTTTATTTTGAAAAAAAGAATGAAAAAAACTATTCTCCAACAACAGAATACCTCAGCATCGATACCTTACAAATGGCGGCTACGCCCATAATGCGCTTTGTGAAACGCGAGTGTGACGTCACCTGACAAAGACCAATTGTAGCGCAACGCGAGTGTGACGTCACCTGACAAAGACCAATTGTAGAACATCCCCATCAGTTCTCAAATAACTCAAATAAGCATGACAGAATTAGTGACTATCATGTCCAGTTTTGCTGCTGTTAAAAAGCCGAGAGTGAAGCGGAATTAGCTAGTAATAGTTGCGTTATGTTGTTTCAGTGTAGTTGACTGACTGTCCTTTTAAATTTTGACAATGTGACTTCTTTAATAGCGCCTGACAGTTATAGCAATGAGACATATCATCACTCCTTGGCCTGTTATATGAAAATGTACAATGTACAATTTGCAGTATGATGTTATCCATTGCTAAATTATGGCTCATCATAGACTAGCTAACCACAAAGCTAGCTAATGCAACTCTCATCAGTCTGTTTGTTGTGACAATAAAAGAAACAAGTTTCTTTTTAAAATGCATTAGCATATTATTTTAGTTAAAACTAATAAATAACTTCAAATAACTAATGATAGTGAAATCTGTTAATGTTGTATTGCACGTTTCTGAAAAAAATAAAATTAATATCGGCCGATATATCGGAATATCAGATTTTAAAACCCAAAAATATTTGTTTCGGTATCGGCCTTCAAAATCATTTATCGGTCGGGCTCTAATATATTGCAACAGAATAAATTATACTTGCTATGTGTTTTTGGTCAGGCAACAGTTCACTGTTAGGCCTACTATTACTTGTATTAGTATTATTAAAAATGTTCACCACAAAGAACACTGATAATAAAAAAAGAAATTTACCATAATAACCATAGTTTCATACAATAAAAGTGACTGGCCGTATCCAGATCAGATGGTGGACCTGCGCCTAGACACGACCACAACGCATCCCTGAAGTGTCAACAGAGAGAGAGAGACGACAGCCATCGGCACTGATCCTCATCAAACTCATCTCCATACCAGCGTGATGACTCCGGTCTTCAACCATGGAGCTGGATAGGCTAAATATTCAGATTGTTCCAATCTGACTTGGGACCTGTAATGCAGCCTGAATCGTTTTCATACAATGTACATTCATTGGCCAGAGGAGAACTGTCCCTCGACTGAGCCTGGTTTTGTTTCTCCCAAGGTCGTTCTGTCACTGATGGAGTTTTGGTTCCTTATTGCCACTCTTGCGTTTTCACATTTCTTGCCATTGGCTTTTGGCTTGCTTAGTTGGGGACATTTAATTTAATATTCAACAATATTATTGATCTGCCTGCATTGACACCATTAGCCTATATGGGAATTGAACTGAGCTGGACGATGTTTTCTCCATTTATATATAAATTAAGTAAATTAATAACTTTTTTTTACAACAAAAATCACTAAGCTTACTTAAGTGTGACTGCGATGCTATTTTCCTCTGGAAACAAACTGTGTTGCATTATTTTCCTGTTATTCCTGAAAAGCTGTTTTGAAACAATATTGTAAAACGCGCTATACTAATAAAGGTGACTTGACTGTAAATACAGGGTTCTCACTTTAAAATCATAATTTAAATATGTGATGCCCAGAGTAGAAGATTTTTCCTTAGATTGGGAACAGCCTATCCCACAGTATGCTTTTGTAACTGTAAGTAGCAGTAATGCTAGTGCTCCATCTAGTGTCCTAGCCGGGAATTCACTATTCCAAGACTAGCGCCACGGTTGACAGATTCTGACTGAAACTGAATAAATGCGAAATAACGATCAAGATCAAGATCAAATTTGAAATGAGACACTTTAGTACCTTAATACACGCGAGTACCAAAAAAAAACAAAGAATTGCGTGCAAGAATGACAGTGTTTTTCAAAGAGGAAGCAAGCCACTTCAGAGATGAAAACTAGGGGTGCATCTCAATGGGTGCTTCTCAATATCCCTCCTCGTCTCCTCGCTCCTCCGTCCTCCCTCCTATGACCCGGAAACCGATCGAGCTCAGCCATCTTGAAGGACATCTCAATTCTCTAATGGGCTATATGCACGCATAAGTTCCGCATTTGACGTAAGGATGCTCGTCCATTTCCGGTTGTGTAGATTAAAGCGAAGGAAAACCGGAGAAAACGGGATTATGGCAGAGTCTTCAAAATTTACTGTCCTCCCGTCTTTGAAACGAAACGTACATACGTTTAGATGTAATTTTATATATAGTTATGTTTATTTAATATAATTTTAAAAAGAAGCATAAACACAACGAGGGGTGTCTGTTTTATCTGTTTTTGTGACTAACGTTTCTTTAGTATAACCATGGAGTATAAAATTCAATATAAATTCTCGCTATTGCATTGGACTCTATGATCGGCGGAAGTTATCGAGCATCCTTAATCCTTCACCGGAAATAACGCCGTGCATAGAGCCCATTGCACCGTGAGGAGTCGAGGATCGAGGAGTGAGGAGGCTTCCTGAGGAGTCATAAGCGAGGATACACAGGTGCATCCTACGCGGAACTGTTATACTGACTAAACGTGACGCACGTGTCAATTCTCCTCCCCCTTCACATCGGTCACAATCATTTTAATTTATACTTTACCTTTGCAGTTTATATAAATCACACATCTCAGATATTTCAACAGTATAGCCTATCTTTATTATTATTTATTATGAATTTATTAAATAACCAAACTTTAACAACATAAGGGCAGATCCTTTTAGCGCTGCTGATGACACTGTGGAGTGACGCTCGAGTGATCAAGAATTCCAATGTAAATAAAAAAGCTTTTATTCGATTCCTCTGTCCTCCTTTCCTTTCCTCGCTTCCTTCCCTCGCGTCCTACAGGGGGTGGAGCTGAGACGCAAGGAAAGGAAGCAAGGGAAGGAAACGAGGATGCACAAATAAGAAATGAGAAGCACCCATGGAGTTTACCTAGGTTCATTCCACAGGGTTCATTCGAACTTCATTGAAGTTCATTTGCTCTGGAATATCTTGGTGACTTAAAAAAAAAAAAAAAATGTGGCAGGTTCAAAATAGCTTATATAAATAAATAAATGATTATATTTAGTATGTGTTTGTAAATATTTATTGCCTCAGTGTTTGTCCTGTAAAGAGTCTTCTCCAGTGTGACTCAATCTCCAAAATGTAAATACAATATATGTTGTTTCTTTTTTTTTTATTACGATAAAGACAAATGACAGAACAGTGTGTTTTTAGATTAAACTGGCTGTGGATTTAAATAGTTAATCAATAAATGTAATATGAGAAGCAGGATTCAAAGCAAAAACAGAGCATTTGAATGTAGCACAAAGCTGTTTGATGTCCTATTTACATCTAGAAGACGTGTTTTTAAGAGTGTTTGCTCATGCAAGACGTCTATAGGACGTTTCCTGCCACAGATGTCAAATAGACGTTTAGAAGATGTCTCTAAGATGTAATGATTTAGAATGCACGTTAAACTGACATCTTCTAAACGTCTATTTGACATCTGGCAGGAAACGTCCTATAGACGTCTTGCAGATGAGCAAACACTCTTAAAAATACGTCTTCCAGATGTAAACAGGACATCAAATATTGTGCTATCTGGGAATCTTTAATGCAAATAGGCCTACATATTTTGTAACATAGCAATTTACAAAAGTAGCACAGGCCGTTGTAATGGATTTTTTTCCCCCTGAACCTGACTACTCTACAATAATACTCACTCTAGTTAGCCAAGTCTTATACTTTTACCAGCGTATCTACACATCGACGTCCGCTGAGTCAATTAAACCTACCCTCTACCCTGGCGCATCTACAGTCGACGTCCACCGGGTGCTAATAATTATATTATATTATAGTAATATAAGTAAATATTACTTGTTCTTGCTGCGCAGCTTAAATAACACACAGACTCCAGCAAATGTCCTTTCAATGCTTTTAATTACGACCGGGAGAGTTCTCGAGCAATACTCAGAGAACTTCCCAAGTAAAAACAAGGCCGGTGGATCCCAGACAAATTCCATTGAGAATCCCCCCGAAAACACTGATACAACAGTTTTTATACCATATGGAGGTATGCCATAATGACATTAATTTCATTGGTTCTTCATAGGTATGATTTGTTACTGGGTAGAGGAGACTTTGTTTGAATGTTTCTAACTTAGTCATCTGTCTAGTTCCATTTCCCGTATTTGTTATTTATACACTGTCAGGAGTTTGGCGCACATACATTCATCTGAAGTACAGAATGTCTTAGGACATTGTATCAGAGATTTAGCTGGTTAAATGAGGTCAAATGTCAAAACATGGTTAGCTTAATATTCAGTTTAAACTTTTCCACCACACCGTACGTGAGTGTGGTTCTCTGCTCAGACTCGAGCGGCTCAAAGTAAACCTCGACTTCTGTACAGAGATGCGGTTGGATGTGTTGATGAAAATAAACAGCTTCAGTGTGTCTGTATTCACACGTTGTTTGTGTGAGTGTGAACGACTGATGGAAAACAAAGATAGTGTTAGTTAGTAACCATTAGTGACTATCCTAACACCATCACACATTTAAATAGCAAAATATTGATCATAGGTCTACAATAAAATATTAAAAATGCACGGATGCATGCAAAAACAAAAACTGAAAAGATACTGTGTCCGGTCTGCCGTATCCAACAGTGCAATACATACTAATACTAATACAGAGGAATATTAATAACCAGAGTATCAGTGTGTGTGAAGTGAGAGAGAGAGTGAGGTGTTGAAATATTATTGGTGGAGGAATCAGACGCAGAAACACTCTCTCACAGTTTAACACTGTCCTGTTAGTTCACTATCTCTCTGTCTCTGAAGTGTTCACATATAGAGATCCGACAATGCTTCACATGTGTGTGTTGTTCTGCGTGTGTCGTCTGGCCGGTGAGTTTTAATCATATGCATTTGAACACTTCAGTTCTTGCTTCAGACACATATATATAGGCTATTTTTTGTACCTTTTTTTATTTATTTATTTGAATAATTTGTGTTTTGTGAGATCTATTTTAAACCACAAGAGAAAAATAACAGAATCTGTTATTATTATTTCAAATAATTCATGCTTTACCACCATAAACAAACATCAGATGATTATTGATGATCTCGCTACTCTGACGTTTTTATTCTGTTACTGTGCTTATTAAAATTACACTGGATACTAAGAGAAAAATATACATGTTGATATAAGTACAAAGTAAATTCAAGGGTTTGATGACCGTTCATTTGGGCCTTTAGTCCATGTAGTTTTTCTAAGAAACATTAGTGGAGTAGTGGAGTGTTTTTAACCGCTTTCCCTGATTTGCATATTTGGCTTAAGAACTCTTCATTCTCACTGCAGGAGCCAATCAGATTTAAGATGAGACATTATCACCCCTGTGGCTCCTCCCACAGATCACACGTATTGCGTTAATAACGGTATTGATAACTAAAAATAACATCATCACACAAAATGTAAATCACTGTGTTCTGTGTCAGTTGCAAAACTGATTAAGTTATTTGAGACCCTTAATCTGTGATAATCTCTGTTTTTCAGGAGTGTTTGCTGGTCCAGATTCAGTGAAATCAGTGTTAGTGATGGAGGGAGATTCAGTCTCTCTAAACTCTGGTCTCATTGAAATGATGGATGATGATTTGATTTACTGGACGTTTGGAGATAAAAACACTTTAATAGTTCAAATTAATGTACTGGCCGGCAGACAAACTGTATATGATGATGTTCTTGGTGGGAGATTCAGAAACAGACTGAAGCTGGATCATCAAACTGGATCTCTGACCATCACACACACCACAACTGAACACACTGGAGTTTATAGACTAGAGGTCGAAGATGGTGTGGGCAAGAGTTTCAGTCTCATTGTCTACGGTGTGTTACATATTTTGTTTGTAATTAAAGGGGATACATATTAAAGGGATAGTTCACTTTGAAATTAATTTTTGATATGTTTTATTTTACCTCAAGGGCATCCAAGATGAAGGTGTCTTTGTTTCCGCAGTATTTTCAATTTTGATATTTTTAGGTCAAACCGTTGTTGTCTGTCAGTCATATAATGGAGGTCTATGGTCACCACCTCAAAGAGCATGCACAGAGAAGTCCAGATTAAACATGATTTAATGACTCGTAAATGTAAGTACACATTGATGGCCTAAGACACGAAACGAGCGGTTTATGTGAGAAAATGAACAGGATTTATATCGTTTTTACCTCTTGTAATCACAGCCACGTCCAACTGATCTGAAGGCACGGGCGCTTCGGTCTGCGCTTGTGCTGGAACTGATCTCTCGCGTGTGTACGTCACTCATTGTTTACAGAGATTTCGGAAGTTTTACTCTTCACTGTGAAGATCTAAACATATTTAGATCTACAGGAAATCGCAATGGAAGACGATTTCGACATTTAGATCTTCACAGTGACTGAAATCTCCGTGTAAACACTGAGTGACGTACACACGCGAGAGATCCCTTCCGGCGCATGAGCAGACCGAAGCGCCCGTGCCTTCAGATCACTTGGAAGTGACTGTGGTTACACGAGGTAAAAACGATATAAACACTGTTCGTTTTCTCACACAAACCGCTCGTTTCGTGTCTTAGGCCATCAATGTGTACTTACATTTACGAGTCATTAAATCATGTTTAATTTGGACTTCTCTGTTTTTGACCATATTTTAATTTTGACCATAGACCTCCACTATATAACTGACAGACAAGAACGGTTTGACCTAAAAATATCAAAATTGAAAATACTGTGGAAACAAAGACACATACATCTTGGATGCCCTTGAGGTAAGATAAAACATACCCAAAATAAATTTCAAAGTGAACTATCGCTTTAATGATTTTTCAATCTCGAAATTATAAACATTGAGATACACACATATTTTTGTCTTCCTTTTTTAAAACTATTGAACAGTTTCCTTTTGATTCATTATTATGAAGTGTTCATCTTTTAAAAATCACAGTAGGCCTATTCTACTGTGTGTGAATGACATCACAAACTGTGTGTGAATGACATCACAAACTCTCAACACATTGAAACGGTCAAAACTGCTCCTATTTACTGATATGATCCTAAAGTAATGTTACTAATCTTTCCCAGCCCGCCTGCCTGTTCCTGTCATCAGTAACTCTTCACACTGTTCATCATCATCATCAAATTGTTCAGTGGTGTGTTCATCATCAGTGTTGAGTGTGTGTGATGCGACTCTGTCCTGGTACAGAGGAATGAGTGTATTGTCCAGCATCAGTGTGTGTGATCTCAGCATCAGTCTCTCTCTACCTCTGGAGGTGGAATATCAGGATAAAAACACCTACAGCTGTGTGCTGAACAATCCCATCAGCAACCAGACCACACATCTGGACATCAACACACACTGTCACACGTGTGCAGGTAGCACTGATGACATCAACTAATATCAGCGCTGATATTAGCGTTTATTGACTGATCTGATCTAAGTTTGATGTTTTTATTTCTCAGACTCCACTGTTGTCCACTGTTGTGGTTCTACTGAAGCTGTGATCCGATTGGTCCTCTCTGCTCTGGTGGGCGTGGCTACTGTAATTGTTCTACTTTATGACATCAGATGCTGACAACTTTGTTTTCCATTAGGGATGTCAACAATTAGGCGAATCGACGAGAGGGCGGACTTTGATCCCATACGGACTGGCCATCTGTGTGATCTGGAGAATAACAGAACGGCCGGTATAGTAGCCTACACCAGGGTAGGGTAGCACCAGCCGTTCGTAAGCTCTTTCTTAAATTAACGTAAAGTCCACACTAGAGGCTTAGTAACTACTAGCTAGTTTGTAACTAACTCTGTACTTTATTCCGTTGCACCATTTGTTCGTAAGGTAGAACGTAGCTATAGACCTTATTCGCAAACACCGGAAGTAGCTAACCGCGGCCATATTGTTGACATAACATCTGCTGCCCCTAGCCGGCTATAGTATCCGGCTGCAGACCCGCAGCACACCAGTTTCAGAACACCAACGCCAGAAGAACCGGAAGTAAGGGGCGGAGTTACGTTCTAACCAACACCAGCGCCAGGAACGTGAGTGATGGGCGAAGCTTATTTTTGAAACCTAATAACGACACCTAACGTAATTTGGAGGGTATTTTACACATGAAACAGCTTTTATTGAACAAGAAACGTCCTACTCTCTAAGTATGTATGTTATGATACTACATTACAGTACAATAAGCATTTTAAAACATTGATTTTGTGTAATATAATTGTATATAGTTTCAGTTATTCGTTTCATTGTATTATGAGTTACTTCCTGATCATAATGGTGAAAAAATAATACTTGAAACTTATGGGCATTTTAATGTATAACAGTTTAATAATTTTAGCTAAGCAGTTTATACATAGGCTACGTGTAGATTTAGGAAGGTAAGACCTTTGTTTTTTTTGTTTTTTATGAAGGAGTTAACTTTGTATAATAAAACTTATAAAAAAACAAGACAAGCATTGGAGGTTTTCAAAATTATACACAATTTGATAACTCATTAGACCTCTGTGATATTTTTTATGTTTTATTTATTTATTGTTTTTACAAAAATCTTAAATTGTTTTGATATTGAAGATATGTATTTGTAAGATGATTTTTATTGTTTAATAAAAAAAACGCATGGGTATTTTTTTTTATAAAATATACTTTATTTCACAAGAACATGTGCAGCATGCATTTTTCGTGTAAATAATGTCAAAATCTAAAAAAGAGATAAAATTCGGCATTGTATTGTTAAAAATGTATACAAAATGACCAATTCAACCCAAGCTAGGCCTGTTTTATCACAACAATCTTGTATAAATTTAACTTACAATGTATCTAATGAGGAGCTCACTCTCAGGCCCGTTTTGTCCTTACATTCTTGCTAAAATAATTATAATGCAATAATAATAATTCCGCCCCTCTCTCACTTCCGGTTCTGGCGCTGGGGTTCTGAAACTGGGGTTCTGAAACTGGTGGTGCTGCGGGCCTGCAGCTGGATATATCTCCTAGCCGGCGTAGCCGCGCGCAGATTTGAGTTGAGGGGAGCAGTTGCCTACATCTCGTCGGTATCAAGAGAAGATAAGCTTGATTGGTGTGTGGAGTGGACCCATATCAAAATCAAATAATAGCATTAAGTAAAGATTCGTCCTTATTGCCAGCCGTAACCTATCCGGATATTTATATTTATCTCTTTCATACAGTATCCGTATAACGTACAAACTACCACTTACCTCAACAAGGCAACTTAATGAACGAGACTCGTCTTATTCTTGGAGGTGGAAAAACAAGTGCTTTGTGACATGCAAGATTTGTTGTATTAAAATTTAAGTGCAAAAGAAAAGGCATGAGAGTTGGTTGTTTTTGTCAATTTTAAGTTTTCATTTAAAATGTTTGTGATTTTAATATAAGTAGGCTATGGTTACATATTTGACCACTTGCTTGAGCAACTTCATATAGAAGTAATGCATGGAATAGCATCAGTTAACTTATGCACTGCAAACGCAGCATATTAAGCACTACGTCGGCCACCGTAGCTTCTCCTTCGTGTTTGCAAAGGGAGGGGTAACCTGCGAGTGACTGGCTGTTTGCAGTTCGCAAACCACAACACTAGATGCCGCTAAAGATCACACACGGCACCTTTAAAGTTGATTATACGAATTTGGTGTGTTGCGGCCATCTGGTGGCTAAAACTAAAATGATTATATTTCATTGTACATCCACGTTACAATTATTTGTTCATTACACCATTTTTTATTTCTTAATTTATTCTATTTTTATTGTCTGACACAAATGTAAAAGTATTTCTCACAAATAAATCACTGTAGAATTGAACACAAATAAATTAATATTGCCTACCCAAGTGATTTACATCTATGAATCATATATGCCTGTATTAAAACTGAAGCTGTGTCATAATAAGAATAAATTATGAATTCATTCAGATTGAATAACAGTTGGTGTAAAGTTCAGTGTAAACAACAGACAGTGTAAAGTTCATTAAGGCAATATTACCGTGCAACAGACTTTTTCAGTAGCTAGTCTTGTTCTGGAGGTATTTTTCTTATTCATTTTCTCTATAAAGAATGAACTACAACCCCATGATGCAACTTTTGCCATGATTCTATGGTTGTTTTTCCTTGGTTGTGTAATTTTTAAATAGGCAATTTGTCAATTAAATGCATTTTGGTTACGTTAAATACTGACTGAAGGCTTCAATAAGAACCATAGATATAAACTTAAGTTATAACGATTTAAATACAGAATAATCAAAGTCACTTTTTCTTTATAAAGAAAATTAAGATTATAACTTCCAGATCCTACACTGTTAAAAGATTATTGTTAGCATAACTTTAAAAAAGTAATAGTTAATACAATGAAGAAGATTGGCTTAATCAAAAGAAACTCAAAGTAGTATGTTATCTGAACCACATTATTATCCAAGTTTAATTGACAAAAGAAAAAATGCTGTGATAAATCAAGAAAATAAATGTTTATTGCAGAAGCAACTCAAGTTTTAAAGTTATTAATGCTCTTTTCTTTGTGGACAGAGAGATGATAATCATCATCTGAGGGACAGTGAAAGTAAAAGTTTTAACAATACATTCGTGTCCGTGTTTAGTTGGAATAAACAGTCACTGCATTCACTAACAATCACACAGCATTTGTTGTATACATTTAGCAGAAAAGCTGAATTCTACAAGTTAATTGTGATTTAAATACTTATTCATAGAAAAATATAATCAATAAGAAACAAAGTTACAAAGTTACTCTTTCACTTTCTGTCTTAAACTTCTTCCACAAGCACTTACAGGTGCAGTAGGTCATTCTCTGCAGATGTTTTTTTTTTTTTTTTGTTATGCCATGATAAGTTCTCATATGTCTGTGGAAGGCGTAGGACCATAAAATGTTTGTTCAAGTCATCAGCTCGTTCATGTACGCTGTCAGACAGAGCGAGATTGGCAGGCAAATTAAAGCAACAGCAACCTGACCTTCCTTCGAACCGACAACAAGTGGCCTTGTGTTGACCAAAAGAAAAAGACAGTCTTTGAAAGGAATACAACGGGAAAAAAAGGCTGGATCAAAAAAAGGACCAAATTAATTGCGGGCGTTGCTTTTACACGCTGGAGACAACTGTGGAAGTGTCTAAAGATGACGTCATAGATGCAGTATTTCTTTTAGATGGGTAGATACCCGGATAATGTCGCTTCTAATGAATTAGCTCAAGCATGTGTAATCGGGTCCTGATCGAGTACATGATGTATTGCAGTATCGTTGTCTCTGGTATTCTTGGCTGAGCGCGCTCGTGCTATCAGGAGGTGTGGCTTTGGATGGCGATTCGCAGGGAGTGTGGGACGCACGCGCACGCTTTTACAGCTATCCGGCTAAAGTTAGCATACATGCACCAACTAATACACAACCATAGCAACACAACTATGATAAACTGCTGATATTCCTCCATTCGTTTCTTTTGATAAAATCTGCTAAAAGATTAAATGTGCTGCAAGTTTGTTTAGAAGCTGCAAATATCAGATATTTAAAACAGTTATGTATATTTGAATAAGCCTGAAATGCTCTTGCAGTAACATTTCTCACACAAATGATTACAGGGACATTTAGATGATAAAGTTACAAATAAACACCCAGCAAGAAAATATGTCTATAAGCGCCACACAGTTAACATTATCTATGTTTATATGGTTTAATACTTGAATATTAAGGTAAGTGACTTAACAATAATGAGAGGCGAGCAAAGCATTTCATGTTTTTAGCTCTCATTTCCTCATATGTATATTTAGAGGAAGCTTTTTTTTTTTCTTTTTGTCTTGCGGAAGCAGTTACAATCCTCTCCGATCATGTGACCTTCATCTTTTCTCCATCTAAGAAAACAACCAATCACAGAAAATAAAGAGAGTGAATGAACAGCTACAGAAACTCAGAAAATCAGCACATTGACCAGTGAATGAGATTCTGTTTAAAATGTTTATTTCTTACCAGGATTATTTTGTCAAAGCAGGTGAAATTAAACGCACATATAAAGACACACAACATAGTTCAGTATCTCACCTCATACTTGGTCTTTCTTCAGAAGCTCTAGATTCGGTCTCTCCACACCTGCTTTGATATATAATCACACGCACAATTAAACAGTAATTATGCCAGAAAAAGATGTTTGTATAGTGTCTGTAGATGATACTTGCCCTGTCTGGAGCTCCTGTGGCGATAGTAGATCACACCAGCAGATGCAACAGCTGCAGCAAACACCAGCAGACCAACAACTATTCCTGCTACAGCACCTGCAGACAGACCTGAACCTGGAACTGATTCAGAGAAAGAGACATTAGTGTGAGTGAATCTGACTGTGTTTATACCGTATTCATAGATATATTCTCTCTATGGACACCCTTACATGTCCAGTGTGGAGATTTACTTCCTCCTCTGTTCACATATACTGGGATTATTCCATATCGGATATGATTAATAAACCAAACAGAGCTCTCAGATTGCAAGTATTAAACCAGATAACATGTAGGATTCACTCAAACATGCTGTGATGGCTACTACAGGACGTCAGATGAGTCTGTCAGAGACTCTTAATTCAGATTTAAAACATCTCTATTATCTCTCAATTCCTGTTTCTATTCTGTTCACATTAAGCCTCTAGTCACTCATGTACATTTTACTTTTTTTATTGTCATTCTATAATAGGTCATCTTATTTTTTAAATATTTTAAAAACTTTTTTTTGATTACCATTTAATTTTTTTTTTACATAAAGCACTTTCAATTACCTGCTGTATAATCTGTGTGTACATTATCAAATAATTTTTCCAAAGGAAATTCATGCATTTGAAAGGATGACAGTACACTCGTTTAGGCGACTATAAAGTGAAGCTCATTTTCTTGCTCAAAGAAAAGCTGTAAAACATTTTTAAAATCTCAAAAGATTTTACTCTATGATTTATCACATCTCAGTTAAAAAATAATAAAAAATAACAACAACGACTCTATCATTGCTGACACACAAGAACAATGTACATTTAAAAATACATTTTGTTATATATCTTGTGCATTATAAAAAGAATTGAAAAAAAAAAAAGGTTGGATAAAATATACTCATGTCAGTCTTCGGCTTATTTGATGCGTTTCGAGCATTGTTGTTCATGTCAGAATCAGCAAATGGAAAACACAGAGAATACAAAAAAGGGGGGAAAAAACAGGCAAAAAAAAAAAGAAAAGAAAAAAGTCATTATGGCAGTTTGGCGTCAATGAAAGTTGAACTTGTTTTTATATTTTTGTTCTATTTAATTTCTGAATGTTGAAACTGAAATCAGAAATCAGTTTGTGCTGTAAAACATGTTGCAGGATTTCCTGACAATAAACAAACGTGTCTGAATGTCACCGTTCAAACAAGTACAAAGTAAAAATAGTGTTCAATCTGTAAAACACTTCAGGGTAAATAACATTGAGTGACTCACCAGTGACAAAAACATTGAATGTTTTTATGGTTTCAGCTTGAGTGCTATTTTTTCTTTTGATGATTTTTGTGCTGTTACACTTGCTGTCACTGTTCAAGCTTTTGCTGGTTCCTGAGCTCTTGCTTCTGTTAATCACTGCTTCATAACGTCCAGCGTGTTCAGATCTGATGTTGGTGATGGTCAGAGATCCGGTCTCATAGTCCACCTCAACTCTGTCTCTGAATCTCCTGTGTTCTCCATCATACAGACAGCTCGTACTGGGATCTCTGTTGATCAGAGCTATGCGAGTGTCGTTGAAATACCACAGCATCAGGTTGTCAGGTTGTTTGATAACACCAGTGTTTAGAGAGACTGAATCTCCCTCATTCACTGACACTTCATCACTGAACACACCTGAAAACACACATTAACAGTTACAGTATTAGTGTGTGTGTGTGTGCATGTTTTACCTATATTGTGGACCAAAATATAACAACAGGTGTCAATGAAAAGCCCTCACAAAGATGTATACAGTGTGTGTATACTGTACATTTGAGGACACATTTGTATCCAGAAATGAGATAAATCTGACAAAACCTCTTACAACCTCGTTTGGGGAGAATCTTATTTGTAAAAATGGTAAATAAAATATAGTAAATAACTTCGCTTCAGCTTCTTTCATTTGATTAAATGTATGATTTAAGTTACATTTAACGTCCGCCTCCTTCTTCCCTGAACTTACACTTTGTCCCAGTTACGTTTGATTACTTAAATTCATATTATTTTATTTCAATCTAATAAAACAACCGCAAGTGCTGAATTACTTATTCAGTTAACGTTACTTGACAAATTAAAAATTGTGGGGTAACACAACACTGTTTTTCTTGATGATAATCATACTAAAATACATTGAATGTCCCCTTGCTCTGTGTGTTTACTCAGTGGCTGGTATGAGACACTTGATGCACATTGCAGTGAACTATTGATATTGCAATATCTAGATATAATATCTGGAAAACTGGATGACTTATTGTTGCTTAATGGCATGCAATTCATAAAAATATATTGTATATTGGAAAAAATGCTCTATTACTGTTACTCAAAATAAAGCTCTTTCTGATTATGTTATTTTAGTCACTTGACAAAACAGTGTTGACTTTGAGATACCAACATGTTACTCACGGAAATCAAGAAGACAAGTCATTCAAACAAAAGACTTAACAGTTTTTTTTTAACTATAACAATGATCTGTTTTCTTTTGATAAAAGTATCCAAACAGGATACTTAAAATTTCATACAAGAAATAAAAAATAAAAGAAGACAAACTAAAATATTTGTTTGAAACTTTTGTATTTTGTATTTCTCAAGATTTTCCAATATGGCGCCGCCCATGCATACGCCCCATAAACAGCCTCAAACCCGTTCTTCAGAGAGTCTATGTGTGACGTCACAGACGCTTTGTCTATATTTTTTACAGTCTATGGTTCAAACATAAAACTTCAGAAATTAAGAAATGGTGATACACACTATGTGTATTGATTACTTTAATATTAAATCTTATAAGTAAATCATATACTTAAAGTATGGTCCAATTCAATGTTTGTTGTTAGAGTGAAATGTTGTACAAAGAAAAAATGTAATTAAATAGCTCTTACTTAACTTTTAATTAGCTAAATAAAATTACTTTCAAATTTGTGAAATTTGATCAAAAGAAAAAAGTGCAAAAACTTGCCTAAAAAAAAAAATAAGTAAATTGTACTCATTGTTTTTTACATTGACTTTTAAAATCATGTCATGTTTTATAATTATATCCTGGCCATGGATGCATTAATCATTGCATGTCTTTCAAAGATGTCAGGTCATCTCTCTCCACACACACCAGTGATGCGCGGGTTGATCCGAAATGAGCGGGCGCCTGCGGTCACCCGCAGTTACGGGTCATCCAAAAATGTTTTTAATGATATTCGGGTCGCGGTCGGTCGGGTCGTTTGAAAAAAGATGCCAATTAAACATTTGTATTAATATATTACTAGACACAATTTTTGATGAAATATACAGCCCTACACATTATTGGCTGAATAACTGGCACGAAGATAGCACAACCTCAGTCTAAACAGTTCTCTCGGTTCTATAGTGATTCGAGAACCGCTGTCCCTGTGCGTTCGGTAGTACGCAGTATATGCGCAGTATCAGCTGCTCGTGCTCATCACTTCTCTCAACAGTGGCACATGTCTCGGTTCAGTGAACTGTTGGAGTTACTGGAGTAAAATATAATTCAGGATATTGATTTATTTCGATTCGGAGGGACTGTCATGTCTGAAAGTGAGTAACTTTAGTAACTTGTGGATCAGCACTGACGCAAGACGCGAACTGTTTCGATCGATTCAGTTCGATTTAGTGTTTCGACCGGTTCACTAAAAAGAGCCGGTTCAAAAGAACGATTCGTTCACGAACCGGCCATGTCTATGATCACTAGTCTGCAGAGAGATAGAGGCGGCAAGAGAAAAGGTGAAGACTGGGGAGTGGAAGCTCCGCAAATACACAAATAGAAAGAGTGAAAGTGTGGGAGACGTTTGCTGAAATAATGAAAGATGATGACCAAAGTGCTGGCTTTGCCTTTAGGCCTACGTCTATTTGCGATGCTTTGTTGTTACACGTCTATGGCCCAATAACGCTCCGATGATTTACTAAAATGCGGTCAGGAAGCGGGTCGGGTACAATTTTTTTTTTTTTTACTTTTTTTGCGGTCCGAGTTGCGGGCGGGTAACGTCGGTCGGTTGCGGGTTGTTTATACATTGACCCGCGCATCACTGCCACACACACAAATGCGGAAATTGAATAAATACTTGTTGAATTGGCACTGACGTGTCAAATGTTTTCTTCTGCAAGTCTGATCAACTATTAATAACAACATAAACCCTAACAATAATATTATTAATGACACACCCTGATTTCCACGACCCCCAAATGTCAGCCTGTCTTCAAAACTCGACAGCCCTGCTTTTAGTAGGCTACATACCCGCCCGTGCTCTCGCCGAAATGAAACTGCGTCATTTTTTCTTTGCTGAAATGTGAAGGATTGTACGGAAGCGTATTGCATTGAAGAAAAAAAAAAATCTACTCCGTTTTTCTGAATTAACGAGTTAATTATCTCAGAATTGCGAGATAATTTTTCATGGAAAAAAGTTTTTGCTCTGTTTTTCTGAATTTCTGAGTTTTTGAGATAATTAACTCGTTAATTCAGAAAAACAGAGTAGATTTTTTTCTTCAAGCGAATGCAATAAGCTTCCGTAGGATTGAAAGTACAGAAACAAATAAACAAAACGTCTTACCATTAACAAGCCAGACCAATACGATGAACACATAGCCTCTCATTGTCTTAAATGTTGTGGCTCATGGTTTAGTGGTGGCATCTGCAAGTTTCTTTCTTTTCCTGTCTCAGCGGAGAAACCCTGCCCTCAATGCATAATTTGACTCCACTAAAGCTGTTCTTGACATTTAGTGTAATAGATTAAGTTTAAATGGATAATTAAAAACAAGACACGTGAAATGACAATAATCAGTATTTATTCGGTCAAATTAAAGAACCCGAAGGCAATATTGCATATTGGTTGTAATTCTGTTCAAATGAAGGTAAAAGTAACTCAGGCTTGACCAATCAGTGTGATCTGAAGCCTCAGCTGGGAAGATCGCTGTCGAAAGATCAGCATACGACTCTAGATAGGCAAAAACTTGTAGCCTAAAGTATGCTGTTATTAATTTCCTAATCTACAATTTCTAATTTCCTTATTTAAGCCTATTTTTTAAGCTCCGAACCAGCAACAGTGGTTCTTAAGTAGCATCAAAACATTGCTGGCCTAGAAGGAAGCATAGTGTGCTTCAGAGGTTGGGGGCGGGGTCACCGTGACCAACAAGACGAACAGAAACTTGTGAACGCCATTTTTATTGCTCTGCAATAAGCTTCCGTAGGATTGAAAGTACAGAAACAAACAAAAAAATGTCTTACCATTAACGATCCAGACCAATAGGGTGAACACAATATAACCTCTCATTGTTTTAAATGCTGTGGCTCATGGTAAATAGAATAAGAGAAACTGAAGGTTCAATGGTGTTTTGCTGTCTTTTTGGTGTTTAGTGGTGGCATCTGCAACCACCTTTCTTTCCTGTCTCAGCGGGGAAACCCTGCCCTCAATACATCTTGACTCCACTAAAGCTGTTCTTGACTCCTCTGCTGTGTCATCTTCTCTTCCCTCACCCTTGCATTTCTTATGTGAATACAGCAACAGATATTTTATGCTCCATCTAACCTCTTCTTTTGACAACATCTGCCCTCTCTCCTCAAGGCCAGCACACGTCACGACATTTCAGCGAAGAGGAAATGGCTCAAATCAAGTCACATCTGACCTCAATAGACCAATCTCTGCTCTCTACCTTTGAGGTTTATGCTGCAAAATCTTCATATTTCCACAACAAGATCAACAGCGCCTCTGACACACGTTCACTGTTCAAGACATTCAATACTCCTCTGTCACCTCCACCACCATCCACTAACTTCTTCGCTAACAAAACTACTTAGCAGTCAGTTCTTAGCTTCACACTCACAAGAACCCAAACTATCCTCTCCCCCACCCTGTCTTCTCCTTCACACCACTAACCGAGGTAGAAGTATCTAAGCTTCTCCTCTCCAGTCATCCTACCACCTGCCCTCTTGATCCCATCACATCTGCTCCAAGCAATCTCTCCTACACTTCTTCCAGCTCTCACACACATCATAAACTCATCCCTCCACACTGACATTTTCCCTACAGCATTTAAGCAGGCTCGGGTAACTCCACTGCTTAAAGAAATCAACACTGAACACATCACTCTTAGTGAACTCTCTCCTACCATTCATTGCAAAAACACTTAAACGAGTTGCTTTTTCAACCAAGTATCATCTTTTATGACTCTGAACAACTGGATGTCAACCAATCAGGCTTCAAGAAAGGGCATTCAACCGAGACTGCATTGCTGTCGGTCACCGAAGCCCTGGGGATCACAAAAGCTGCTTCCAAATCATCAGTCCTTATTCTCCTGGATCTGTCTGCTGCATTCGACACTGTGAATCATCAGATCCTTCTGTCCACCCTCTCAGCACTGGGCATCACAGGTACTCCTCTCCACTGGTTTGAGTCCTATCTCAAAGGTAAATCCTTCAGGGTCACATGGAGAGGTGAGGTATCCAAAGCACATCAACTGACCACAGGGGTACCCCAGGGTTCAGTGGTTGGACCGCTCCTCTTCTGCATTTACACCACATCACTGGGACCCATCATACAGGCACATGGTTTCTCTTACCATTGCTATGCCGATGACACCCAGATCTAACTCTCATTTCAACCAGATGATCCCATGCACGTATCTCAAGCCGTCTGGCTGATATCTCGGCATGGATGAAGGAACATCACCAGCAGCCCAACCTGGCTAAGACTGAGCTTCTCGTCTTCCCTGCCGACCCATCTCTAGAACATGACTTCACTATCCAGCCAGATTCTTCCTCAATCACCCCTTCAAGGTTGGTCAGAAATCTTGGAGTAACCTTTGATGATAAGCTGCCCTTCTCAGATCATATTACAAAGACAGCTCGATCATGCAGGTTTGCAATGCACAGCATCAGGAAGATCAGGCCTTTCCTAACTGAGCATGCAACACAACTTCACGTCCAGGCCCTGGTTATTTAGGCTTGATTACTGCAATGCTCTTCTGGCTGGACTTCCATCATGTGCAACTAAACCTCTACAAATGATTCAGAATGCTGCAGCTCGTCTGGTCTTCAACGAGCCCAAAAGGGCCCACGTCACTCCTCTGTTCATCTCTGCACTGGCTGCCACTCGCTGCTCGCATCAAGTTCAAGGCGTTGACCCTTGCTTACAGATCGACCACTGGCTCAGCTCCCTACTTTCACTCGCTCCTATGAGTCTACATCCCTAGCAGAAGCATACGATCAGTCAAGGAGTGACGGCTCATGGCACCATCACAGAAAGCCACAAAATCACTTTCCAGAACATTTTCATTCACAGTCCCATGCTGGTGGAATGATCTGCCCATCATCATCCAGAATGAAGAATCCCTGACAGCATTCAAAAGACAACCGACAACTCTTCCATGAGAACTTAAAAAAGAAAAATTTCTTTTCTTTGTATTTTGAGCACTTCTTCAAAAGGTTCAGGTCTCGGGATCAGATCGGAAGTGAAAAAATGTGGGTCGGTGTATCCCTATTCCTGACATTCCTACAATTCACACTCACCAAAACTGGACAGTCGAAAATTTGACAATGTTGCCTGAATTTTTGATGGGACAAAACCTTGCTGCGGTACTCTCCAAAACATCCACTCTTAACCAAGATACATGTGGAAAGGTGGCTGATTCTAGACACAATCACGGACAGCAACGCAAAGTTGATTCAATGCAAAACTGATATTTTAAATGTAGATTTATGTAGCAAATGAGAATTGCTAAAATTCTTGAATATATTTTGAGTTAATGATTTTCATGGTGGTTAATGGTTTTGTTCAAGGTAATTAAAGAAAAAACGTAATAATGGAAGAACATGACAAACGTATGGTTTACGAGTGCGGATTAGAACTCGCTTGGCAAAAGATCGACCTCTAGACCATTTAAGCCAAGTTCACACTACAGGATTTTAAGCCCGATTTGCAAATCGTTGAGCTCGCAGACAGGTCATGGTCAATTATGTGTCAGCGTGCAAATTGCGGGGGATTAGCGGGCGATGAACGTTTGCCAAGCTGGTAGAATGAAAGAGCCAACAACACATCAAAGACGCTCGCAGACGCCTCGCAGACACGTCGCAGAGCCCAGAAAAATATCTAACATGCTAGATATCCAAAAAGGTCACACAACTCGACCTCAGTGATGTCATGAGCTATAGCCAATCAGAGCAAGGCATGGGTTGAGGTCAGTACTCTTCGCTGGGTATTGGGGCAGGGCTCCAGACTAACTTTTTTTACTAGGAGCGCTGTTGCCCCTAACTGAAAATTTTAGGAGCGCAATCAGAAAATTTAGGGGCACACCTTAAATCAGCTCGCAAAGCAATTATTCAAATTTCCCCGAAAACAACTGTAATACTGACAAATTCTATAATAATAAATAGACTTAACATTATGATATGCTGTTTTATTTTAAGTTCACAGGGCTCCAGACTCAAATTTGAAAGCAGCACCACCTCAACTGAGAACTCACACTGAGTTCTACAAAAAAAAAGAAAAAGAAAAAAAATCTAGTAGCACTGGGGCTGACAATAAATCACTAGGGTGTAGATGAAATTAACTTTAGTTATCATTTATAATGTCTTAGGCCTAATATTAAATTTAAAAACTATTAATTTGAAAACATGTATATGGAGTGAAAATAGCCAATAAACATTCCTACTGTTTACAATGGTGTTATTATTTTTTAAATAAATGTTTAAACAAGAGTCTTAAAAAATCTTAAAAATGTTTATTTTTGTGTAAAATGTGTATTTGAACAAAAAATGTGTTGGTCATCACATAAAAAATACAAAAAATAAAATATTTATATATGATATTATAGTTTTGATTTTGAAGTGCTAGAAAAAGATGTGTAGTAGGCTACTTGTAAGTGTTTGACTATTTCTTCCACATTATCATATTTATGGTTAGAGTTAAGTTACTACATTAGCCTAAATCCATGGTGAGCTACCGATTTAGTGGACTGAAAGCCTTCTATAAGTGTTTATCCTGGTTTCCACGTCAGCGCTGTTGATATGATAACTTATAACTTAGGCCTACTTATAACTTACTATATGTGGTTTATAACAGAACGCTTATTGCTCAGACGCACGTAGCAGGTTGTGATATTTGTCTCCGTCTCCTTCCCACAGACGTTTGCGCGCGATTCTTGTCACGGATTCATTGACGCGCCCCTTCCACGCTTAACCATGCGTTTAACGTGTGGCAAATTTACTGGTCGCACATGTGCGACTGGATGTAAAATTCAGTCGCACACTCTCAAAATTTGGTCGCAAAATGCGACCATTTGGTCGCAGTCTGGAGCCCTGTGGGGTGTGTGCTGTTTCGCGTCATTTTCAGTTTGTTTTATCGTGTGATTTTTCGTGACAAAACGTGGTTTGTAGACAAGATAGAATCGTTGGGTGACAGTTGTTGTCAACTCGTGTAGTGCGTTACCTCCTGTTGCGGATCAATCACGTTGTGTCGTGTGGTGTGAACAGACTTCTGATTTCACAAAGAGCAAGTCATGTAGTGTGAACCGCACAATACGACTCTCCCACTGAAAAAAAAATAAATAAATAAAAAAATAAAGCTTGAATTGTGAATCGATATTTTTTGCACACCCCTAACTCATGACTTTCCAGGTCGCAGATTTGGGTTACTGGGCAGTGGTGGGCACCAGCCGGTCCCGGACAACAAATCAGTCTCCAATAATGCCAGTGCTTAAACTGCAACCAATAAGACTAACACACACACCGACACACTGCTTTTCCAAGGTTGGATTTGGCCAGGCTCTAACTATAAAGATGAGAGTCGTCTCAAAACATCAAGATAATGTTCTTTCTCTCAATGACAGCTAAACTACAGTCTGACTGGAAAGTAAGGCTTTAACAAAGAAATGGTCCCTGAAACTATTGGCTTCATTGACTCCTTTATGTTTTAACGCGTTGAAGACCTTTCTCAAACACAAACAAGTCCATATTTCATTTCTGGAAGCCGGGCTAAATGAGCTAGCACTGTTGCAACATGCATTTGAAAATGCAATAGGCACACCATCTCCAGCATTAGTTGTAAATCTTTTGTCAACTAAAGAGAAGCTTTAAGGTCTCCTTGTTGTTTTCTGCCCAAATAAAAGCTTGATGGTTTAACATTTGAAAGCAAAGAAATTAAGATGGCCAGCTCAGATTATGAGTCAAAAACAAAACCTGCTGTGGTCTGATACTTTTCCATCTGTACTGAGATGTGGGTGAATGTGTTGCGTGCAATCTATCTGAACATCTATGGTTAATGTCAGTCTCTGTGTGTATCTTGATGAGCCAATACAGAGAGTGGTTTAAGTGTTTTCCATTCCTTCACATGCGATGTTCACAGTTTG